ATAAATGGTAGTCTGCTAATCTCGTCAAATCAGGCCAATCAAGTGTAGATTGGCTCCGTAATCTCATTCAGCGTCAACCCCTCCTTCGCCACATCCTCCTCAATCAGGAACATCAAAGGCATCTCCACCAATGTACCCTTGACCTGGCTGAGCAGATCTTTGACTTGCCTGACTCCCTCCGGACCCGGAGGGAAGTCGTCGCGGACCACGTGCCCATACTTGTACCGAGCAGGTCTGGACTCGTCCTCGCCATACGCCTGCTTGTCCGCGTTGTGGAAGTAGTATCCGTAAAACTCCTTGTACGTGGCCCAGTTGCGCACGGTGTCATCCGGAACCGAGTGGAAGACCTTACGGAACACTTCCGTGTTCGTCCGAGCCCGCGTGTTCCACATACTGTGCAGCGTATCCGCCAGCGGATCGGCGACGACCTGGCTCTCGGGTGACTCAAAGTCGGTGGTGTTGGGAACGCCCACTGGCTCAAAGTTGCCATCTGGTCGCTCCGGGTCTTGGGGCGGCAGTAGTCCCAAGTGCTTGCGGAAGAGCTGGCGACGAAGGGAGGCGGCGAACCGGCTGGCGGTCCAGGGCTGGCCGTTCATGCGGGACTGCACAGGGGTGTAGTCCTCAATGATGATGGCAATTTCCGAGTCGTGAGTTCCCAGCTGAGAGCGATCATTCAAGTTGGCCGATCCGACAATGGCAACACGGTCGTCGGCGACCATCACCTGCATCTTGTTAGTCCTGCACTTATACCATATGAATGCTAACATACCTTGGAGTGAACATAGAGCTCCTCGGTGACAAACGCATCAATCTCAGCCTCCGGAGGTCCATTCCAGGGGACGTTGCGAATGTCCGGACCATTGAGCATGTAGCAGCTGCTCACACTATCCCACTGGCCAGACTTGCCGCCCACCTGCTGGGCAGCCTGCTGGTACTGCTGATAAGGCGCGGTGGTGTCGAAAGCTGCCCGAGGAGCACCGGGACCATAACTACCAGGGCCACCGGTCGCCACGTCCTGCTGCTTGCGGGCATCCTCGTAATTGACACCGCTCTGCTGTTCGGCCTGCATCAGCGGGCCACTGACATTGATGCGGTCGTAGTTGCGCAGGTTATAGAACCGGATGTAGTCCATCGGGTTGAAACCCTCCTTGGCAATCATCTCCATGATGCTGCTACCTCCACGGTTGATGCAGTTGTACTGGAACTCCATGATCGCGCGAGTACCAAGGGTAGACTCATCGCTCAAGTCTCCGGCAAAGCAAGGAACGGAGGGGATCACGACAATGATCTTGAACTTCTCCCCAGCACGGGCTGCGCGCAGAATACGCTCCACAATGGCAACACCAATCTTGTTCTCCACCGGCTTCTGGGCATCGCCAGTCGCCGTGATGAAGAACTGGTTCTCAATGTAGATAAAGTGCTGACTGTTGCGAATGACCGCCGCGTACGCATCCTGAATGGAGTGCTCGGTCGGGGTGCCGTTACTCCACTTCGAGCAGCTGCGCACGATCTGGCAAGTCATGTTACCACGGGGCTGACTGGCTTGACGGCCATGAGTGGAGAAACGATCCTGGTACTGATGGATCTGGCCTGCCAACTCGCCGCGCAGGACGTTGCCGTAGTCCATGAAGTTCTCACGCAGGCGGCGGGGGTTGAAGCCCCTCTCAGAGTCGCCATATCCGCCCGATGCATCGTGGATACCGCGGGTCTGCGAGTGATGGATCTCCTGGCTCGGAGGAGGCGGGTAGTACTGGGTCTGGCCTTGAGTCTGAGCTTGGGTAGGTGTATGGCTCTGCTGCTGCTGCTGCTGCGGCGGCGGATTGTACGCCTGATGAGACGTCTGCGCAGAACCCTGGGCTGGCGGAGGGCCAGGAGGGGGCGGAGGGAAGGAGTCACCACTGTAAGTGTAGTGCTGCTGCGGGTGGGCCGAGTACGCGGGAGGCTCCGAACTCTGCTGTTGCCAGCTGGGCTTTTCTTGACTGCCAGTGCTTTGCGTCTGGGGCTGGTTGTAGCCGGTAGGTTGTGCAGGCTGCTGTTGCCAGCTAGGTTTCTCCTGGCTACCGGTGTCTTGCGCCGGGGGTTGGTTGTAGCTGCTGGGCTGCGCAGTCTGTTGTTGCCAGCTGGGCTTCTCTTGGCTGCTCGGGTTGGGGGAGTGACTGACAGGGTAGCCACCCTGGGGTGCCGGTGCCTGCTGCTGCCAGGTTGGTGTCGCGGGGTTAGCACTGCTGGGAGGCTGAGTAGTAGCAACTCCGGTCTGCTGCTGCTGCCAGCTTGGGGTAGAAGAGCTGCTAGTACTGGGTGCATGGGCACTCTGCGACGGAGCTGCCTGTTGCTGCCAGCTGGGAGCGGGAGGACCAGGGTTCGCCCCAGGCTGGGGAGACGCAGCCTGCTGTTGCCAGCTTGGTGCAGGAGGGCCAGTGGCACCAGGCTGAGGGGATGCAGGCGGCTTCTGAGCCTGACCACCCTGTTGGGGACCTTGCTGCTGAGGACCCGAGGTGGGCCGGCCGTACAGGGACAATCTGGCGTATCTCGAGTTGTTGCGCGACTGGTACTTGGAGTCATAGATGAAGTTCCACCGCTGAACGAAGTGCTTCCTCAGATCTTCAACGACCGGACCGTGCAAGCTGACCGAGATGTCGGACCAGCCCATGCGAGAGGTGTCCTTCCGGTCCAGCTGGTTCTGCTCCCAGTGGGCAACGTCGTGGAAGTCGCTCACTCTGGCGTTGTTGTAGTCCTGACCAGGGAAGACAATCTTGTTCAGGTCCTGGCCATGCACGTCAGCGAGTTCATGCTGATTGGTGTCCCAGCGGCCAAAGCACATATCCAGACCCCCCATGAAGGCAATGCGGCCATCAATGAGGCAAAGCTTTTCGTGGTGAGCCCAGTACAGAATGACATCCTCGTGCATGCCGTAGATGCCCTTGATGGCATCTTCAGACATCTTGGCCAGGTTTCCGGCATCGAGAGACAGGTTCTGGAGAGACGTGTGGATGGACGCCTCGAGTTCCTGGCGGTCGGGAAGATGATCGGGGTGACGGAATACGGCAATATTTTCGTGGAGGTCTTCCAGATGGTGCTTGGTGTGATGGGAAGAGACTGCGAGTCAAATCAGCTGCCGGTTCACGCAAAGGACGCAGGAAACATACGGGTCAGTGCCTGGGTCACCTCCTTGTACACAATGATGTTCACCCGGACTCCGCGCTGCGCCGCAGCCAACAGCATCCGATCCAGCCGGTACTGTTCGTGCTTCGCCGGGGGACGTCTCAGGTAAAGCTCCGGAGAAAGCCACCCTAACATGTCTAGTCAGTCTCATACCCTCCAACACCGCGATCCCTGGGATACCTACAGTCCAGAATCCAGATATACTCCTTGGCGCTCTCCAATGCCTTGGACACCGCATAAAAGTAGGCACAACCGTCCACGTGCCACTTAACCTCGTTACCCTGACGCGGGGATGCAAAGCTCCCGAAGCGGTTCTCCGTCTGCGGCTTTGGTGCGCCATACTCGGCATAGGCCTGGGGGTCGAGCGCGGTACCCAATTTCTGTGCCACCTCATTGCCGAATTCCTCGAGCTTTCCAAACAAGCCGGAGAATTTGTCCTGCTTCTGGGGTTTCGACGGATGGGGTTGTTGTTGCTGAGGGGGAGGGTGTGGCTGGGACTGCGAGGGACCTTGGGACTGGTAGGTCTGGTTCGAAGTCTGAAGAAGAGGAACGGGGCGGTTAGTACCGGGGATCGGGCAAAGTGACCAGGTACAGACAGGCAACAACTTTCACATACATTGTAGTAGCTGGCGGACTGGGATTGCTGCGACTGCTGAGTCTGCTGGGAAGAGCCCTGTTGCGACTGGTGAGACTTGTAGGTCTGCTTGAGCTTCTTGAAAGTGTCACTCAGACCCCTGGAAGAGTCTCCGGAAGAGGCTCCCCGGGCGGAGTCCTGGTAGTACTGGCCATAAGCCAGGTCGTCTTCGGGGCGGGTCATGATACAGTGGGACACAAAAACAAAAAGGTAGAGAGAGAAGAGGTTTAATGATAGAGGTAGTATAACAGAGAATCCTCGCGGAGGATTACTTTTGAGGTGGTAGACGAGCAAACAACCCAGGGGGGAAACAGGAGCTATTAGTAGTAGAAATAGTGGGGAGGGGAGAAGAGAGGGAAGAAGGAAGAGGAGGGGATCAGCCCAGTGGAGACAGACAGACAGAAGAGAAAGAGAAAGATAGATGGATGATGGAGGGCGCGGCTGACGGGACTGACGACGAGCCCCGCCCCTCCAAGAAAGTCTCAAGTCAGTCAGTCAGTCATTCATTCATTCTCACTCCAGCTGTGTGCTCCAGGGAATCCACATTTAGGCTGCAATTATTATTATTATTTTTAATGAATAATCCCGACCGGGGATTCCAATGACTGATGGACTTCCCTGGTTGTTGCTTTTGCCTGGGGTCACTAGACATAGGGCAACCCCTCCATTGCATTTCCACGATGATCTCGATCCCAACTCATAAGTTAAACTAGTCAAGTCAGTCTAGTTTGATTCGGGGATGCAGGCTGGCCCGGCTTAGAAGTGGGGAACCATTTGGCTCGAATTGTGCCGTTGATGTGGCTGTGCAGTCCTGCCAAGTGTCTTCAACTAGTCTATTTAGTGTGATGGAGTAGGGGTTTCACTTTGTGGCGGTCAAGCCCAGACTAATACCTCCTGAGTAAGTAAGATGTTAGTATTATCAGACACATAACAACTAACAACTAACAACTAACTAGAGACTGTATGTATTGAGAGTGAATTTAACAAAAAGACACGTGATACCCACCCCGCCCGGAATGTTGTGGCTCAGGCGGATCTCTCGGCTGCCATCCATCATCAGCCATGCATGCATCCCGACAATCATAGTTCCCCCGGAACATCTCGGAAAACAGGGCTGAATTGGCGAGGGACCGTGACCACTGCAGCTCGACGAACTATACCCTCATTGGACTGGTGATATGTACATGGCGGTAATCAACCATCTCTACCTCGTTCTGATGCAGCGACGCAGGTACTCTCCCACGCGATCCACATCCCCGAGCGCTACAACTATCCCAACATACCCGTCGGGCCGGACAACCACCATGGCTCCCTGATGAGGGTCCACCCCGTAGATTCCATATGCATCCTCCAGCTCGCTTCCATTATAGAAGCGCATCTCCGCATGTTCTTTTACGCAACCCGGAAGGCTGTCCCATTCAAACTCTCTCGGGAGCTGCGGGTGCACCACAATCTGCTCGATGACCCCTGCTGGGAAAGTACCCAGCAATGCAGACACATTCTGCAATGATCGAGCAGACACACTTTGGGCGCTCAGAAGATCATTAGACGTGAGCGTTAGAACGCGGAACCGGCCCGTGGATGCCAGGTCTAAACGTGTGGCCATGATTAGCATATGCAAGGGGTGGAGGGATGATGATACCAACCGTCCTGAATATCCCGGTGCCATCCATCCGCATGACGTCTCAACTTCACGTTCAGCAATCGTCTGCCCGGTCGCAGTATTCCTGATAAGTAGTCGTCGCCCCGGATGGGGCTATCCTGTCCCTCCGATGCAGTTCGGTCAACGATCATACTCTCTCCGTATTCCACCCCGCAGCCGCTGGTGAAGCCGTTGCCGGTGTTGAATGTGGCCACAAATTCCGCGTGCGACATGCCTGACTCCTCCGTGTCCAGTTGACCCGAGAAGATGGTAGAGAACTTGCGATCAAATTCAATTAGCTGCTGCGCGTTCGCATGCCGTTCCAGATGATAAGTGTCGAGGAGGGGATGTGGCTGGTCGGGCTCGGTAGACGATGGGCTGAGTCCGTGAATGTGGTAGGCCAGCTTCCAGGCCAGGTTATACGAATCCATCATGGACACATTCATTCCTTGGCCGGCCTAGACAACAATTAGCTGCGTCCCACAAAAAGTTCGGAGATAGTACCTTTGGACTATGAGTATGGCAAGCTATGATCGTCAGCAGGTGATTCTAGTCCTCAGTGAAGAGTGCACGTACCATCTCCCACAATGAATACTCTAGGAACTCCAGTAGAGTCGTTGACAATAAATTCCGGCGAGACCCGCTGCCCAATCTGATACGCTGCCCACCAGTCGATTGACTCCTCGCTTTTCGGCCTCAGGTAATATGGCTTGAAAGCGTCCGATGCTTGCTTCAGGATTCCCTCCTTCGTCACCTTCTGTCTGCGTACCCTGGCATCATCATGTTCGGAAACTGGGGTAGCCGCTCCCACTATATCTCCATCGGGGTTTGCCATTCCGGGTACCTGGACATAAAGTCGCGTAAGATACTCACCCGTCACGATCCGTTCTCGTGGTATGACCATCACCGAGCCAGCTGGGGAATGGATTGCACATCGCCGGCGAATGTCAGGAAAATCCGTATCCACTACCAAGTCTATAACGCCCCAGATATGGTCGAGCGATTGACCCTCCAGCTTTAGTCCCACACACTGACGTACCATCGAGTGTGCTCCGTCTGCTCCAACGAGGTGTTTTGTGCGGATCAATCTTCTTACCCCGCGTGTCTCAATCTCCGCCAGGACAGGGAACTCCTTGTCATCTTCATTCAGCTGGACATGGATCAACTTGGTGTCCCTTTGCACGCCTCTTTTGGAGTACCGCAGAAGGTCAGTCTCCATAATCCGTTCAATGCGTCCCTGATGTATAGTAGCCTCGTAGCGAAACCGAGCCGGGGGTATCACTTCGGGGACCACGGATTTCCGCTCAATGATTCTGGATGGGTCCGATGAGGTATTCCAAAAGGCAAACTGCCACATTTGACATGCTTCGTTCTCAATCTCGTCGGAAATCCCCAAGGTTTTAAATACTTCCAACGTCCGAGGTTGAACGCCATCTGCCTGTCCTGATTTCAACGTGCTTGGCTTCGAATCAATACAAAGGAGAGATTCTTCACTCAATCCGTATCTGGCCAGCAGAAGTTCCAGCATCAGCCCCGAGGGTCCGGCCTGCATGATGTTATCAACTCTCGCTCGTGTATGTTGAGTGGCAACATCCGTTGTCTGATGGGACTTACCCCAACGATGACAACCTCGTAGCGTTCGACTCCATCGTTTACGGTGGGTTCGAACGGCGGAGTAAGTCGAGGTAATGGAAGAGCAAATGAAGGAAGGACACGCAGGTCCCGCGACTTGGATGCGAATTCTGTAAATACCGGCATTTCAATGTGTGCTTGATTGGATCAGTTCTCTTGGGATGATATATTCAGCGGGCTTGTAGATCTATATACCATCTCTCATGGGTGAATATTCACTCGGTTGTTGAATGCGGCATCGTCTGGAGAAACCCCACACATCAGTACCCCACAGGCGGGAAGAAGGTACACAGCGAGCGATGGGCGACCCGAGTGAGCCAGGTCCACCTGCATTGCTGCGCACGTATGGGGTTTCTAGTGATCATGCCGGTTATGCCATAATCAATAGTACCATTGGCGGAACCATTGTGTAGTGCGTCAAATTGAGTGGGATTAATATGCAGGCCATCTCGTAAGTGCTCTCATAATCCTCATGTCAGCAGTCTGCAAACCCCTTCGGTGTGTCGATCCACGGGGTCACCCCGCCACCCCGCAACACATCCCACATTTCGGTGGGGAGCCTGCACTAATGACCTCGGCATGAACCAGATTTGCTTTCTTTGCCGTCACATCTTTATTGATACTTGCTGTCTCCAGTGGTCGTGCATAAATGTATTGCTATAGGATCCGTAATCAAAGAACGTCATTCTTCTCTAACTTCTTCCAGAGCCGTGCATAGCACAGTGGCAAATGTTTTCGAGATCGTCCAGCGCCCAAAGCGGTGCAGAAGATCAATCAGTCGATGTAAGTGATTCACATCTGCAAATGCAGAGTCTCCGAATGCCTGCCCTTGGGCCTCTTGCAACGCGGTCTCACTGCCCAGGAGCTGGATCTCTGGGGCATCGAAAGCTTTCAAGTTGATGGATTGCTGTTGTCCAATTCTCGTGAAGCAGAGCCATGCGAGAGCAGCCGAAAAGAGAGCCCCTGGCACATGTATTGCGGGTTCAGAGGAAATTCGCATCCTCTCGAGGTAACGCTGTATCAACAGCGCATGAACCAGGCACTTACTGGCATCCAGGGAGCCTGCCCACCCTTGAACCGCGTGGTGAGAATCAGTGGCTGCTGCATGCCCATTACGACCAACTGCTCGTTCAAGCACGTCCATATCGCTGTAAAGAGACATGTAAATCGAGTGCCACAATACAGGAAGGCTGAAAGGGTCCTCTTCTTCATCTTGAATGTATTGTGAGCTATACTTACTCCACCAATGCATCAGTAGGCTAGATAGATTCCGAGATGTATCTCTGTTTAAGGTGCCTGAGAGGCGAGCTTCAATGACATGGGCGTTGATACTCTCCAGCACACTATAGACAGCGAACCTAGAATCATGTCCGGCGGAGTGAAAGTGAAGGTCGGGAGAGGGGGTTAATTTAGTAAATGATGGTGACTCTTTGTATATGTTGGCCCATCGGGCGGCTGTCGGAGCCATGAACATTGGTTCTGAGGCTAGCAGCGGACATTGTGTGAATCGATGCTTGCGGATCGGCTCATGATGCATCAGGCTGGCAAGCTCCGCATCGTGTATATTTAAGGCGATTTCGACCCGTCTTCTCTGTTCCGCCTCGGCCCATCGGTGCCACTGCTCGATCACCTCTTGTTCGGTCGAACAAGAATCGAGGAACTGTCCATGTCCAAGAGTAGCGTATTTATTCGACTCACGTGTCCATCCCATTACAGTACCATGAAGGACATCCGCAAGGACCAAGTCCTTGGGCCTTCCGGACAAAATTCCATAGGTCTGGCCCAGAATGGCAGCTTGGACCATCGATAAGGCATCCGGTCGGCTATGAGCAAGAATAGACTCCCAGGAGGCCAAAATTGCTTTATTCAGTCGTTCAAATATCCTCAGGCCTTGTGCCACTGCATGGGATGACCCCACAAAGAGGCTGCCTATTGAGCAGATTGATAAGAATAGCAACGAATTTTCCGCGGTCGGACGAAAGGTGGGTGCATGTATAACCGGAAACAGGGAGTGAAATCGACTAAAGAAGAGCTTTGCAAAGAGATTCAGTTGCTCTGCGGATGGCAGTGCTTCATCGTGCATGCGAGGCTTCAACCTCTGAGAGAGACCAGCTCTATAGTTGTCATCGGCATCGATCCTCCCTTGAGGGAACGAGTCACCGGGGCGATTGGGCCCTCTGTAGACGAATTGGTCTACCTCTGGCGGAGATAAGCAAGTAAACCATCTCTTCCTTACAATGTCCGCTGGATGCGATTCATCGCCGTTCCCCTTTGCGTAGGACGTTGGTGCGGAATGCAGCGGCTCTTCTGCTAAGCCAGCAGAGCCTAACATGTGTGGTGTGGAAGGCAGTTGCGCCCATTCCGATATCGCCGATGATATGGAAAAGTTCAAGGCATTTACATCAAAGTCTGCGCCAAGGAACCAAGAATCGGTATCTGTCTGTAGTACGGAGTCATGCAAATTCATCCCTGTCGCTGATTGGGGTTGTAATGGTTCGGTACTGCTAATTAGTTGGTCAGGTACAGCTGGTACTATTAATGAAGCATCATTGAGTAGCTCATGTATCCTTGGTGCCGCATGAGATGGGGTAGAGATTATCGTCGACTCTTCCGCCACTGATCGGGATGGGGTCCCTGAAATCGAAGCTCGGGGCTGCGGTGAAGCATTTTGAGAGTGCTTCTCGTGGCTTTTGAGATGTCTCCGCAGCACATCGCTAGCAATTGTCAGTGCACATGGCAGTAGCTTAGGTTCAGTGTTCATACCTTCTGGAGTACACCTTCCCGCAGGTAGTACACACATACGGCCTCTCTTTAGTGTGGCTGCGGAGATGCCGGGTGAGATGTTCGGCTTTTGAAAAAGTCTTGTTGCAGGCAGGACAAGGACGCGTACGTGGTGGATCTGCCTCTGAGTCCGAGGCGCGCTTCATTTCAGGTCGACTCTCCATGGTGCCTCGAGCATACTCAGACACGAGGGATGGTTCTCAACGGTTGTCCGGAGTAGAAGGAGCGGAGTTGCGGAGTTGCGGAGTTGCGGAGTTGCGGAGAAAGAATAAACCCCACATTCATACTGGGCACGTGACACGTTGATTCAGGCTTCAGTCCAAACTGATTTACAGCCAGCTAATAGTAATATTGGTTTACGTCTAAAAATGATTGGGACGTAGTTACTAACTTCAATGCTACCAGTTGAGTGGTTGCTGATACCAGTATCAGTTTGCTGCGGGGATTTCTGAGACTGATGCTATATTCTATAGTGTGGAGTGAGAAAAATATCATAGATATATTAGCAGTGTGCATGGGAACAAGAGTATAAAGGCTTTTCTTTTCATACCCCACAATAGTTGGGCTTATCCTCTGTAGTTTCTCCAAAGGCAGCATCATTGAAGTTCGTAAATATATGATCTTTCATTCCACGTCTAAGAAGGAGTCTAGATCTAAAACAATCAAAATCCCTTAAAGTGAACCCCAAGTGCGACCGACAATAATAGCCGGATGAGCCACCGTTAAACAAATGCACGCAATCGAGATCATGGTACTTTCCAACACCATCAAGTCAGTTTCATTATTGGCCAGGGCACTGGAAAATCCACCCTGCAACTCCGCAACACGGAAGACTGATCGAATAAAGATAGTAATAGTGGCAAGAGCGAGACCTGATAGATGCACATGTGATTAGCATACGTATAATTGAATCAGACAAAGGTCAACATACAGTAAAGAAACATCTTCCACTTCGGGCTCTTGCGAAGGCTAGTAAAGTCATCATTCTCTGACTTGGGGCTTTTGCGGACCCGGAAAGCGAATTCGCTAGCAAGGACCATGAACACGAGTAGGGAGAAGACCTGGAAAGCCAATCCCGCAATCATGATGTTGACACCAGTATCGCTTTCGCTGGTGTCGCCGTCACCAGCGGAGGAAGCGAGGGCACCACCAACTGCTTGGAGAATCAAGGATAGCAGGTCACAGGAGACGAAGAGCCTTGTGTATGTTCGGGGTCGGAATCGAGAAATGTCCTCTCCGTAGATAACAACTATTTTCCCCAGGCAGATGTAGATAGCGGCACTGAAGAATGCGGGTCCAAGAGTCAAACAAATAAGGTAACTTTAGATTCAAATGTTGATTAGTTGAAGCTCACGGTTGAGGCATAAAACATATGAAGCCACTCACAGAAGGAAGTTGTTAAAGTCAAAAGGATTATCATGTAGCATTATTCGCCCCACGTATCCCAGAACCTCGAGAATAAGACCCGGCAGCATGGCAATCATATAAGTCCATGTTCGATACCATACTCCCAGACCAAATTGAAGGACGGTTATGAGGCCGAAAAAGGCCACGAAAAACACATTTGCGGGAAGATTAGGCAGGTAATTGATATATGCCATGCTGAGCGGACATGTTGACAAGGTACAATTGTCAGTTGAAGACATAATGTAGTTAGGGTATTAAAATTGATCGTGATATTGATATCGATCTGTATACATCAATTTCACATGTTCGAGGCTAGCCTCCATCTTATATGGCTAATATCTCTCCTGAAACCCGAATGCCTGATCTATCGTTACGGATAGGGCTATGCAAAATCCTCATTTTTCTTTTTTGGCCCAAGATTACGCACGCTGAGAGAGATTATCGACACGAGAAACCTCACTTTGAGATCTTGGCGGCCCCAAATTAGGCTCCCTGATTCACATGATTGGCTTAGCAGACACGGAGTCGGATGTCAATTTTGGTCCGCCGGATAAGCCAGACAGATATGGTGTCCGTGTCCGACGGACTGACACTTCTTAAATGTACTACCGTCCGTGTTTGACCTCCAGTCCGTGTCCGTTTCTACATGATCAGTTAGATCATATAGTTACTAAGCCCTATCTTCTTCAGTATGGTTGGGGAAACTGAAACAGAAAGAGTCAAGACCTGTGAGAACTGCGTCCGGGCCAAGATACGATGTACGCATGCGCCAGATGCTACGATATGCGATCGGTCAGTAAACTACTTATCCTTCTGATGAAAAACTACATGTATACAGTATCTAACGTGGTATGCAATTCGGTATAATAGCTGCTATCGCTTGAAGAAAGAATGTTACTTCCGACCGGCACGGCAGCGACCCGCTCCAAAGAAGCGCAGAAGGTAACGCTTAGAAACAATAAGTCGCAAACAGCTCAACTAATTTAACTAAAGCAACAGGCGCATAGATATACTTGAAGACAAAATTGATCAAATAATGGGCCAGATCAACCTCGTCACCCCACGACGTCCAGAGCATCAATATCACACCCCGAATAGTGAAGTCAGCAGTACCTACCCACACGCCGATACTATCGATGTAATCAAAAATGGTCTGATCAGTCATGAATACGCAACTCAGCTCTTAGATCAGTACCGTGAAGCCATGCTGTTCTTCCCATTTGTCATGGTGCCCGCAAGCACCACGGTCAACAACCTAAGAGCCGAGAAGCCATTCGTACTTCTCTGTATTCTGGTCTTTTGTTCATTCCACGACGACTCGTTGCAAAAGTCACTAGAAGAAGTTCTGCAATCCTATGTATCAAATGAGGTTCTTTGCTCAGATCATGATAGCCACCCGCCTTCTTTCGAGATTCTGCAGGGACTATTGATCATCTTAGCTGGGTATGTATGGCCTTGAGATTTTGCTCTTGACTTCGCCAGTAGAGAAAGACATACTAATTATCAAATAGAACACGCCAGAGGCATCAACTATGTCGATTTCCGTATTACATGCAGCTTGCCGTTGGCGTAGTAATCAACGAACGACTCGATCGACATCCGAAGTACAGAGTCGCCACACGGCTTGAGGTGGGTGACGAATGCGATAAAACAAGAAAAGGGACAGTAGCCGATGAAGGTCGGGCCTTGATAGGATTATTCCTACTCAACTCCACGTAAGTGAAGATCTTCAAGGGAAACGAGACTCATACTTACACTTTTCATCAGTGATGCTATTATCAGACAAAAGACTTGCACAACTCCCTGGACACCGTTTATAGAGTCAATAGCTGAAGACTTGTCTCGGGTGGCCGAATATCCTACTGATCGGTATATAATCTATTACGTCCAGTTACAGCATATGTTGCAGAGGTTGGATGCTCTTACTATGGGTAGTATTGAACGCCATCCGGACGTGGAGCAACATATTCGAGCATTTAGAGCAGAGGTTGAACAGTATAAGAACCAATTACCTGTTGATCCAACCTGTGACCGTGAGTATTTCAGTATCTTACTGAGTCCCTCCCCATTAGACATGCACTTGAGCGATGTACATCATGACGATGCTAATAAACTCCTTCTGCACAGCATTCATCGCAACACAATACCACACCCTCGAACTCCAGATATGTCAAATCAGCCTCATAGACACTAAAGCAGCATCCACACCATCCGACAGCTTTCTCCTAGTCTCCCGCAGCGACACCCTCTGCCACGGACTAGCAGCCTCAAAGAGATTCCTCGACTACTACCTCACATTACCACCAATAATAGAAAAGAACTACAGCATCGTGATCTGGCTATCATCGGGCTTTTTGGTTGCCGCCGCATGCAAACTAGTTCTGGCAGCTTTGCACCCTTCACTCCGCCTTGATACACAGGTACAAGAGCTTCGTGACGCGCTTGATATGCCGAAGATGCTCCAATTCTTTGTGGCTCGTCTCGACGCAATTGCGAAGACGTGTAAGGATGGGGTATTTTCGCATTATCATAAGTGGACTCTGGCTGCTGCGACGTGGTTTGATAAGGCGTATCGAGTTGCTCAGTTGGAGGCGGCGAAGATTGTTGAGAATGAGACTTTGCAGTTTGCGGTGCAGAATCAGAATATGAATCAGGGGGTTCAGGCTGATCCGAATTTGTTTGGGTTGGATTTCGAGTTTACGATGGAGGAGTTGATGGGGGGTTGGTTTGGACCGTTGCTTGGTATTGGGCATGTTTGATATCAGATAAAAGGACGGAGGAAATAGCATGCATCAAACAGAATGTTATGAGATATATCCATGTACTATGTAGTTATTTTCAGTAATTTTCATGATAAGGTAACGACGCCCACAGAGCTTCATGCCAGCACGGAAGAGAAGGATATCAACAAGGCAGAAATAGATGATTGACAAGAAAGAAAATAATTCGAAACTGAAATAGAATTTCTTATGTATAAATCAAACCATTATTCTGCTCGTTTTTCCTTATTTATATTAGATTGGGATTTTATATCTGTCTAGCTAGATTAAATATCTGACAGATGTCAAAGTCGCTGCCAGGCAGTTGGGTGTCGATCCGACCTCGGCGGAACCCCGCAGTATCTTATCTGAGATGCAAGTGACGTTTTTACGGCTGCAGGAGGACAGCAATAACCACCATAGCTTTATTGACGGTGCTGCCAATGTTGCCACCTACCAGTGAGTTTATACTTGTGATACTTCAGTGAAAGGCTCAAAGCCTAAATAAGACAGAAACATGTTTTCGGAAGCAATGGCATTGTTGATATTCCCCCTCACAGCATGAGCTCCCCACCGTTGCAACGAGACGGCAAGTACCCCGCACGACAGTTGGAGAAAAGCGGATCACCGCCGATTATTTAAGAATGACACCCCTCCATCTCCATCTACTTGACCTTGGCAGCTAGCTTTTAGAATCCCGTCTTTCCCTACTTCAATTTAATCTCATCAACTCTTCTCCATCGCCGTTTCTGCCCCAGCATCCTACCGACACAATGTCTCTCGCCACTCTTGACGTAAGTCCTCTCTCTCCAATACATGATGCCGAGAACAGAAAGAAAGCATGAGCTCATCGCCCTCGAACAACAGACTGCCCAGCATCCCAACCTCCCGTCCGCGTCGGAGACCCTCTTCAAGGCCAAAGCCGCCAAGAAGCTGAGCTTCGAGCAGATTGCCCAGCACATTGGCCGCAATGAAGTGGCTACCGCTGCTATCTTCTATGGCCAGGCCAAGGCTTCCCCCGAAGACATCGAGAAACTCGCATCGCTCCTCACCATTCCTTACGATGCTCTGGAGGAAAGGCTTAGTGGTTTCCCCGACCGTGGTCGCACCGTGGAGATGCCTCCCAAGGAGCCCTTGATTTACCGGTTGTATGAGATTGTGCAGAACTACGGGTACGCATACAAGGCGGTGCTGAATGAGAAGTTCGGCGATGGTATCATGAGCGCTATTTCTTTCTCGACTAAGGTAGAGAAGGAGACGGATGCGGATGGAAATAACTGGGCTGTGATCACTCTGCGTGGAAAGTGGTGAGTTGTTCGGATGATGGATGGTCGCATCGCTGGTGATTTACTGACTTTGTTAGGCTGCCCTTCTCGCGGTTCTAAATGTGCAGTGTAGGAGATCGGGTTTGGTGAATGCATATATAGTGTTCTGTAAATGAATGGCTAATGAGTTTCGTTCTGTAAATTGTCTTTAGTATGTGGCTAGTGGGTCCGTACAGACTGGCTGTAGGTAGAAAGTGAGAAAAGTAATGAATTTGTTTAGTTCATTCCTACTCCAATGCCACCTCATTCCATGCGATATGTGAAACCTCCCGTAAATCTTGAAATATGAAACGCTTCCCAGCAGGTTTCACTCCCTCTCGCTTCAAGTGCATGCCTTCCTATTTAGGCAGGTGTCTTCTAGGGTGACTTCCATTCATCGCCATTTCAGTGAATTTCGCAGACTTTGACCAGCACACTCTTCTAACCTCCCTGTTCAAAACTACATCTATCCCCTCCGATCATTCGACACTCAATCCGCATCTACTTGACAAGTTACTTGACAAGTTACTTGACGAGTTCAAGATGTCCACTCAAGGATTTAACCCCAGGGTGCCCTGCACCTACAAGGAGTGCAGCGGTGTCTTTACATCGGCAGGGGAGATGAAGAGGCACAAGGCGAACGAACACGACTATTGCAGCCGTTGCGACGAGGATTTCCAGGATGATGAGTATCTCCTGCTCCACAAGATCAAGAGTGACAAGCATATCGTGTGTGTAGTTTGTGGGATCGATTTTCGCAGCGAGGGCGGTAGAGACCTTCATACCCGTCAGGTGGGTATCGTTCATATTGGCATTTGTTGACCCTTCACGTTACTCCAAGCTAAATATTTTGGTATCTATACAGCAACACCGAACTCCGCAGACCCTGACCTGTTACGGCTGCGGGCAGAAGTTCAAAATGGCAGGTGCCATGGTAAATCACGTCGAGAGCGGCGACTGCCCAAACATCCCCTTGTCCAGTCTCCTACAGGAACAGTCAAAGAGACTTCTCTTCCGAGAGGCACTTAAGACAGGTAACGAGGGTGAGAGCGCTGAACCCGACGGCCAAGATGACAACGGGGGAGTCCATATTGACCAGGACCTTTTGGAGATGGACCCTGACGACGAGGCCACTCAAACTATTGTGGGCGGGGTGAGCGGTCTATCACTTGACAACAACGTTCCGGAACCGAAGAGCAAGTCGTCGATGGCTTCTCCGTCTTTGGTGAGCGAGACGAGAGAACAATCAGCATCGGCCGGAAAGAGCGCGAGGCCATCGAGCCTAACTCCAGGCCCAAGCAACTCCTTCGGCATTGACCACATTGACGCAGGACACACTCTTCGGGCGCTGGACCGGAACTGGGACCCCACCGTATACTTCAGTTCCTTCAACGGAAAGTTTATCTGTCCCTGTAAGGCTGAATTCTCCAGCATGAGAGACTTTGAGGAGCATGTCGTAACGAAGACCAACCAGAACAGAGGCATTCAGTAAGCTACTGCATGCTTGGATGACGGTTGATTATGGTCTGACTCACGACTTATTAGGTGCCCTGGATGTCTTCGCATCTTTCGAACGGCGGCTGCCCTGGTGGCTCATTGCGAGTCGGCCAGTACTCGATGCAAGGTGAACCGGGGGCTTCAGTTCAGTCAAGTCATCAACGACATAAGTGGAGGACTGGTCAGGTCTGTTGGTCTGTTCGCGGATGGTAGCGTGGAGTACGGGCCTGGCACGATGGGTCCGAAGCAGGTGACATATGAGAAAGAGCAGCGTAGTTTGATGGACTAATCATGCGCAAAATCGGACTTACAATATTCGCAAAGCAGAGCTAGCGCGCGACAAGACTGCCATCTGATAATAGCTCAAAATCCAAGTTTAATCTACAGCGCATTGACCAACCATCAAACAAGCAATCATCTTGACTCAATTCATTTGTAGAACCAAGCGAAAATAGAGAAATAGTAGATGTGATAGAAACACCGGGTATAAGCGATCTCGCAAGGGCAAATCCAAAACCAACTGAAACACCATCCATCATCCATCCATCATCCAAATCCATGAAATCATCGTGACCCAGGTCCGTATTTCATAGCTCGTCTCATAGATGGGCAGCACATGTCCGTTTCCTTATTATTCTTTTTTCAATATCTTTTGTTCATCAAGATACGGAGACGGTAGTCGAACGTATGTATGAGAGGAAGGTATTTGCTTAGCAGCACTCCTCGCAGCACTCGAAGCAGAGAAGACCGGCGCAACTAGAAAATAATCACAATTAGCTCCACTGTCACGATGGAAATATAGGTGAAAGAGAGGAAAGAAGGAAAGGAAGGGATGAACATACACTCCGCAGCACACATCACCGGCACCACCACCACGCAGACCCATCTTCATTTCTTCCTGGGTGTTCTGGAAATACTTGTTAGTTTTTGGCTATTTATTTGATAGATGTTGGGGAAAGGGATATCGTACAGGCTGCTGCGTAACGACGCGCTCAGTGGAAGGAGCCTCGGGGCTAGAAGGCTGCTGCATGGTCATGGTGTTGGCGTCCCAGGAGGGTTGTTGAGTAGCGGAGGATTCCTCCTTGGAAGACTTGAACCAGTTGAAGACCATTTTGACTGTAGTGTAGTGTAGAGTGTTGTTGTTGTTTGTGAATAGGTGAGGGTAGAGATAGATAAGTATCTAAGTAGATAGTAGTAGTAGGTAGTAGACAGTTGTAACAAAAATGAATGAAAGCGAGGAGCAACACCCGCTATTTATGTTTTAAAAAACGATGATCGGATCCATCCGCCATAGTACTCAGTACAATTTCTCTGGATCAGGGGTCCACGACTAGGCGATTCATTCCGTGTGGGTCAGGGTGTAAGTAAAGTAAGCGTCACTGTATTAATTGTGTAATGATACGGGTGGGAGCTAGCGAAGAAGACACAAAAACAGAAAGAATCCGTATGCTTCATGCTGAGAAAGCGGGGAGGTTGGTATGAATTTAGCCACTCACAGCCACGAGATGGTCCACGTCAACCTCCCGCTCAGCCCTGCCGGCTAGTAATTTCTTGGCACGGCCGACTTGTTTGTCATGGGATTCGCCGGATCACCCCATGATTTCTTGGCTGTCCTCACTTGTCTGGGAAGATGTTGTGGTGTGTTGTGCCGGGTTTGCCGTGGCTGGGTTGGCTGGGCTGTGTTGTGGTTGATGAAACTTGGATGCTTGTCTTGTCTATAATTGGGAGGTGTTATAGACGCGCGGTTCATGCAGAGATCCAGGTGAGGAGGGAGGATGATGTCTGTGTCAGTCTTCTCTTTCTTTCTTTCTTTCTTTCTTTCTCGGTGGTTAACCAGGTAAGATGCTTACTACTTACTTCGCTTACTCTGAACTCTGTAATGCCCATCTGATAGGTAAGTAAGTTGGTATCACCATGGTATCATCCAAAACCCTCCAACATCAATAGTCCCGTAACTTTCATGTCTCCCGCAAACCTAGAATTCGCAGATCGGCAACTAACCATACTGCTTTCGCTCCCATCGCCCGACTCAATTTTGGTTAGTCGAAAAACGCCGCGTTGCTTTCTCCTCAATCCGAATACGAACAATCCCAATACACAGGCATTACAATACAACAGGGCAGTTTCTCCAAGCTTTACCTAAGCTTTGCTTGGATGCTGGGCCAATGGGGCTGTGCCAATGCTGATCTTATTCTTAGCACTATCGCCTAAATGGTCTTAGGCAACCTCATTCTCGTTTTTTTGCTACGTACCGATTTCCATTTCCATTGTTCCCTGATTACCTACCGGACACTATTACCGAGTCAAATTGGCCCGGGATAAAGATACTGCGGCAGTTACTCACTGACAGTATGGAGCAGCAGGGTTTGGTTTTCTTAGACCGTTGGGCCGACCGATTGTTTTCCATGGTCCCTTGCATCGGATTGCGAGTATTGTCTGTCTGTCTCTTCTGTCTATCACTGTAAAACTCTGCAGGGTCTACTCTATACTATGTCCGTATTGTGTGAGGGAGTTTCGCTTTTCCATTCGTTGTCATTGGTTGACTGTTCCTGGTAAAACCTGTGAGTGGCATCCTCATGGAGGAGTTAGCCGCCGTGACAGTGCTAGTCGTCAAAGTGGCTTGGTATTAGCTCCGTGGGTTATGTGCCCATCCCATGCATCTAATCTAATAGATCACTCTAGGTGGAACATTGTGGCTGGGGCTGTGTATCAGGGTGCGACATGACGGCGCGGAGGGACTATTGATCAAAGCCACAATCCAGACAGGGACGGTCGCAGATTTGACATGGATGTCATACTATGTTGTACAGTAACCTAACATAGAATTACGAACAGTATTCCACTTTTCTACTCCCTAGCGTATGAGAAACGGCTCTGCCTATCAATCGATCTTCACTGGTGACAGCATGATTGGTGCGAGGAATAAGCCTCAGATGATCATCCTGCGTGGGTATCTTGCCTGTAAGTTCCTTTCTTGTTATCCACTCGTGGGTTTGCCGAGGTATTTACGGAGCACTGCGCTTCATTAACTTCGAGTGCATAAATAGAATGATGGCTTAGCTGTGGTGATGCTGGTGCCTGTCACAGTCATGGCACACCGCTCGCATCATAGTTGATGGATCGGCAGTGTGCAGTGTTCTGTTATGGAGATCTCTCTTGTCGATGCAATGTTTTGAAGAGTAGGTGATAGCTGCCTAGACTATGCGGTCAACTGAGAGAGTATTGGGGTTTTCATTGTGACGGCTGTGGATGATGTCTGGTCGCGAAGGTTTCGCGAGGGAGTGATGTGATGGTCTGAGACATTATTAGCATCAGAACACCAAAGAAGCCTCTGGCACACAACTCATAAATATGAAAGCAAAGGGTTGACGCTGTACAATCTCCGCCCGGGGCATAAGAGGACAGCGAATCCGCCTGTCAAGAGTCCGACAGAGCTTCTAGAACAGAGCGGAATGGCTTGGCTGGAATGTCTAATAGTCAGGTCAATGACGTCCCGTGATCTCACCCACCACCATGAAGAAATTCATGCACAATGTCAACCAATCCACAACACCAGTATCCTTAGACATTGAATATTACACTTGATTATACTGCAAAGTATCTTCGTACAGTAACAATCATGTAAATAATGATGATACTCCAATAAATCCATCGCAACCCGATCGCAAATTGCAACCTACGCAAACAACCCCACATTGCGGGGCAGCAAAGCCCATTCCATTCCGTTGTCGCAATACCACCAGAACCTGGAGAAATATTCTCTCTCCTCTTTCACCTTCAACACACCATCTCCATCACCAATCAACGCCACCTACAAGATGGCAAAAACACCCCTCCTAATCCTCGACGGCGGTCTCGGCACCTCCCTACAAGACCACTACAACATCACCTTCAGCAGCGACACCACCCCTCTCTGGTCCTCGCACCTAATGATCTCCGACCCTAAAACCCTCCTCTCCTGCCAACGCGACTTCACCACCACCGCCGCCGTCGACGTCCTCCTCACCGCCACCTACCAAGTCTCGCCGGAGGGCTTCCAGCGCACAAAAACCCCCTCGCACCCGTCGGGAATCCCCCGCGCCAGTATCGGCCCCTACCTGCGCACTGCGCTCGACGTCGCCGGACAAGCGGTGCAGGATACTTCGGCCTCTGTGGCGCTGAGTCTGGGCCCCTATGGCGCGTGCATGATCCCCGGACAGGAGTATAGCGGGAAGTATGATGGGGAGCATGATGATGAGGAGAAGTTGTGGAGGTGGCATACGGATCGGTTGGGGCTTTTTGATGATGAGGAGGCTTTGGAGGGGAAGGGGTTGGGGGAGAGGGTCAAGTATATTGCGATGGAGACGGTGCCGAGGATTGATGAGGTGAGGGCTGTGAGGAGGGCTGTGAGGTCTTCGAAGGGGTTTTGTGAGGGGGTGCCGTTTTGGGTGGCGTGTGTTTTCCCCGTCGAGGATAAGGATACCTTGCCTGATGGGAGTACTGTTGATGAGGTGGTTGAGGCGATGCTGTTGCCCGTTGAGGGGGGTGCGACGCCGTGGGGGATTGGCATTAATTGTACGAAGCTTCATAAGTTGCCCAGGTTGGTTGGGTTGTTTGGGGATGCGGTGGAGAGGTTGCTGAGGGATGGGAGGATCCAGGAGAGGCCGGCGTTGGTGCTGTATCCTGATGGTACGCAGGGAGAGGTATATAATACTGCTACGCAGACGTGGGAGAAGGTGCAGGATAACAGTGGTGCAGCTGATTCGGTAAGTGAACCTTTGGGGTTTGATTAAGATTTTGGATGGTATGTGCTGACTGCAGGGACTATGACAGCGACCCTGGCAGGTGCAATTGTCACAGGTGGTCAATGACGCTGCCGCCACTGGCCAGTTCAGCTCCATTCTCGTTGGCGGTTGCTGCAAAGCTTCGTTCAATGATATCAAGAGGCTTCGCGAACAGCTCCGCCCGGAGTAAATTAAACGTGTATAATATGTATATAGAAAAAGTCTAACACTTTTGTGACGGGTTGCAAATTGTTGAAATTGCATGAAAAACATAATGGGTATCTCCGCCGAAAGATGCACAAATGCACAGAAAAAGTTGAATTTGGAACCAGTCCACACTTAGAAGAACCAGTCCACGAAGCGTCTCACACGGGTCTTGGGCCCGCCCTCTCGAATGACAATCTCGCCCTCCTGCAGCCGACCGGACCAGAGGTCGATGGTGGAGCTGCGCTGAAACTGCACCACCAGTTAGCTACACCACTCGACACCAGATGAAGACGGGGCTGCTTACCTTCGTGCGGTTGAAAACCTTCCAGAGGATAATCGGCACGATAAAGATAGGAATGCCCACATACGAGGCGAAAAAGTCCGATGTGGACCAGTTACCCTTGAGGAACACGGGGAAACCCGCCACCAGGGTGATGATCGTTGAGCCAATGAAACCCACCCACGCTGTGTATGGCTGGAAGGGCGACTTCCAGGGCAAAGTGTCCCGACTGACGCCCTGCGCTTTCATGGCGGAATAGAAGCGAATGTAACAGAAGGACAGTGTCGCCCACGCGATTAGTCCAGCAATGGTGCTCAGATTGAGAAGCCAGTCGAAAGCTTGCGCCGGACCGCCGGAGCCAAGACCTATAGCGATCGTTAATCGGAGTCCGACACAATAAAATCAGAATTACTTACTCAGGTATGCCAACGGGCCAAAAAGCCAGGAGGTGATGACGGCAACGTATGGCACGCCCATCTTGTTAACCCGGCCAAACACCTGCGGCAACTGGCGGTCGGTCGTCATGGCCACGATCATGCGCGATCCTACCCAGCAATAGGAATTGCCTGCAGACCAAGCCGATATAAGAATACAGGCGTTGACGATAGATGGCAGAGCGCTAATTCCGGCTTGCTTGATGGCAATGACCCAAGGAGAGCTGTTGGCATTGCCGGAACCAGAAACCAAGTCATTGTTTGTAGGGCTGACGATGAGTCCGATGAGGAGTGCACCGAGGATGTAGAAGAATGCAATACGGTATGTCACGCGACGGGCAGCTTTGGGGATGGAGTAGTGCGGGTCGACCGATTCGGCGGCAGTGATGACGACTGTTTCAACACCAACGAAACTGAAGGACGCGTTGACAAAGGCAGACAAGAATCCGAGGAAGTGTCCAGTCGGGCCAGTGATGCCGTTGTAGTTCGTCCAGGCTCCCGGGTTGTGCCAGTAGCGGAATCCGATGGTTTGGTGATTGGGACCGCCACCAGAGGTGATAACGATAGCGACAAAAACCAATCCGACAAAGCACAAGACCTTGATAGCGCCTGCGATGACCTCACTTTCACCATAAAAGCGTACGCTCATCAGGTTGATAGCCAAAATCAGCACTAGCCCGACCGTAATGACCACCGCTGGTGTTATGTCTGTCCAATAACTAACAATGACCGCAGAAGC